CGGTGCACCTGCGTTGATCCAGCACGCGCCCACGGCAGGAACCCGTACCAAATAGCACCATTCGGGCCGCGTGCGCGTGCCTTCACGGTCGCGTCAAAATCGTTCCAGAACCATTGGTTCTCGAAGCGTTTCAATGTATATGATACACACATATATCTATATTCACATACATCTGTATATATACACAAACATGTGTGTTTAGCTTCTGCAAGAAATATGAATCACCATCACTAGTTCATCAACGGCTCGCCATATTAATAGAATTTCTGCGCGACCGCTTCCTGACCATCACCTTCATCAACGCCACCGCACCACCACCGCCATCGTCATCCCCAATGGCCGCCATTCTCGCCATCACCACTCGAGAGCCTACATCAACAACACATGGCGCCATCATCATCGTCGCAATCGTCACCAACATCGGCACTGGCATTGACCTTGCCGTCGACATCGTCATCATCGCCACCACCATCGCTACAATCATCATAGTTGCCAGCACTGCGGCAATCATCATCTTATAGCGCCCGCCCGACTCAGCAACCCGGACTGAAGCGACCGCGCGACAACGCGGCCATTCAGACAAGCTGGGAACTTCCCACTGGTAAACGCCATCGCGGCCACATCAGCTGTGCCAAAACAGCCGGCCGCTGTGCGCGCGAGAGTGCGCGCGCCAGCGTGGCCGTAGAGATGCGCCGCCATTTGCCAAGCAGTCACCACGGTCGCGGCTTCATGGGTTTTGCAAAACAAGTTGTGGGTGGGATGGTGGGGTGTTTGCGCGATACGTGGGGCGGACATGTTATCTCTGACTACGTAGGTTGCAAATCATAGGTTGCGCCGCCACATAGTCTGCACCACAAAACTTATCACACCACATACATATTCCGATCAAACAAATAGGATATACCCCCCACTGGCCTTAAACGGTTCACCTCTTCGTACTGCAACGTGCGTACGATTCTGCCCCATCGTCCATTATAACAACGAACTCGTGCCACCCCAGCATGGCCAAAGTTTGGCCCCCGCCTCATCCTTTGCAACAAATACTACGCGCGCGCTCGTGTATCAAAATTCTTTACCCAAAACCACTTTGCAAACGATAAGACGAAGCGCGCACGCGAGAGTCGTCGCGCGCGCATGCCCAAATCCTTCATACAACCTGAGGTGTCGCCAGGAATTCAAAATCGAGGGCCACGAAACCATGTTGAACAACAGTGTTTCGCAACACGGGTGTTCAACAGCAGCCTGCGCCCGCGCCTTCGCAAATTCTTTTCAACAAAAAATGTGTTGTCAAAGTGTTCATAACATTCTACGGAACGGGCGTTGCGCGCGCGTGTCGGAATTATTCGAACGCCCTTGCGCGCGCGCTGTCGCGAAAATCCATTGCAATAAACGGGACGACGTTCACGCGCGCGTCGTCGCGCGCGCATGCCGGAATCTTTCAAAAACCCGTGGGTTTCGCAAGGATTTGAAACACGAGTGCCCCGACAACGTATAAGAACAATATGGTTTTGCAACATACTTAAAACGTATACGCTGGCGGCCTTACGGGTTTTGAAAACAAGCAAAAGGTTTTCAACTGTTTCATCACATTCGGCCAAACGGGCCTCTCGAGTCGAATGTCGAGCCCATTCGAACGCCGCTGCGCGCGTGCTTGGGGGGGGGGGGGGGGGCGATCCGTGTCAAATGGTACTACGCGGGTCTCTCGCGCGCGTCGGCCGCGCGCGCATGCCGAACTCCTTCAAAAACCATCATCGCCGACGCGAGGGCATCGTCATCGTTATCGGCGGGCGTGATCAACATCGGCGCCGTCATTGGCCTTGCCGCCGTCATCGCCACCATCATCGCCACTCCCATAATCGTGCCAAACTTTGTCGGCGTCGCCATGATACCGCGCCCGCAGAACCCACCGACTCGCACTGAAGTGCCCGCTAGAAAGTGCCCAGCGGCCAGCGCCACCGCGACCGCGCCTGTCGCGCCAGACTACTCGCTGATCGTTGCGCGCGCGAGCATGCGCGGGCTAGCACGGCCGCAGAGATGCACCAGCCAACACCAAGTACTCATCACAATCTCCGCCGTATTGGTTTTTCAAATAAAATTGCGGGTAGGTGGGTGAGCGGTGAGCTGTCTACCAAAGCACGGAAGTTGTCAACTCGTTTGCAACAGACAATGATATCGCATTTGTTGCACCATCTATGCTGCAACACAAGCTGCACCATACGAATATTACAACACACATGGTGCACATCGAACTTATTGGGCCCGCGCTGGCTAACACCATTTGCAAATTATCCGGGCGAACAGGCCCAACCCTATGCAAGTGTGAGCATCGCAATTATGGGTATCGCCTTCGGTGGAACTCTGTCTTGTGCCGCGAAGCGTGTAAAGCGTGCGCCGACATGGGGCGGGGACGCATGTGGGCGCAGCCACCGCCACTGGAGCCTTCGGTGAGGCTCCCTATGGGTCACGACACGCTGTACTGGGAGGGGGGAGCGCATGCGAGCACCGCCACTGGGGCCTTCGGTGGGGCTCCCTATGGGGTCACGAAGCGCTGCGCTGGGTGGGGGGAACGCATGCGAAAGTCGCCACTGGGGCATTCGGTGGAACTCCCTACGGTGCCACGCAGCGTTGTACTGGGTGTGGGAAACGCATGCGAACGCCGCACTGGGGCCTTCGGCGGAGCTCCCACAGGGCCACGACACGTTCTACGGTGGGGGGACGCATGCGAACACCGCCACTGAGGCCTTCGGTGGAGCTCCCTATGCGGCCACGAAGCGATGTACTGGGTGGGGGAAATGCATGCGAACCATGCCACTGGGGCCGTCGGCGGAACGCCCTGTGGGGCCGCAGAGCGTGTGAGGGATGTGCCAAGTTGCACGGAGGGCGGCATGCGAACCGTGCCACTGGGGCCGTCAATGGAGCTCCCTGTGGGGCCGCGACGCGTGTGAGGGATGTGCCAAGCTGCACGGAGGGCGGCACGCGAGCCATGCCATTGGGGCCTTCGGTTGGGCTCCCCAAATGGTCACACAGCGTGTGAGGAGATGCCATAATGGAAGGGGGGGCAATGCAGACCATGCCATTGGGGCCTTAGGTGGGCCCCCTCCCCCTGCGTGGCCGCGAAGCGTGTGAGGGGCTTGCCAAAGTGGAGGGGGGCGGCACGCGAACCATGCCATTGGGGTCTTCGGTGAGGGCCCCCTATGGGGCCACGACGCGTTGTACTGGGCAAGGGGGAATGCATGCGAAGCATGCCACTGAGGCCCTCGGCGGAACACGGCGTGTGATGGGTGTGCCAAAATGGGGGGGTGGCATGCGACACGTGTCACTGGGGCCTTCAGTGGAGCTCCCTGTGGGCGCGGCGCGTATGAGGGGTGTGCCAAATTACACGGGGGGCGGCGTGCGACCCATGCCACTGGGGCCTTCGGTGGAGCTCCCGATGGGGTCGCGAAGCGTGTGGGGAGATTGCACCATGAAGTAGGAGATGGGGGGGACATGAGAGCCATAGCAACGTGGCCTTAGCTGGAGCTCCCTATTGGGCCGCGAAGCGCGTGAAAAGGGTGCGCCAAAGTAGAGCGGGGCGACATGCGAGCCATGCCACCGAGGCCTTCGGTGGAGCCCCCTTATGTGGCCACGGAGCGCTGTACTGGGTGGAGGGAACGCATGCGAATGCAGCCACTGGGGCCTTCAATGGAGCTTACCATGGGGCCACCAAGCGTTGTACTGGGTGTAGGAAACGCATGCGAACCCGGCCAACTGGGCCTTCGGTGGGGCCTCTATAGGGTCACGAAATGCTGTACTGGAAAAAATGGCACGCACGCGAACCGTGCCACTGAGCCCTTCGGCGGGACGCCCTCCGAGGCCACGGAGCGGGCGCGGAGTGTGCCAACTTGGAAGGGGAGGCGGCAAGGGAACCATGCAACTGGGGCCGTCAGTGGAGCTCCCTGTGGGCGCGGCGCGCGTGAGGGGTGCGCCCCGTTGCACGTCGGCGGCATGCGAACCGCGCCACCAGTGGGGCCTTCGGCGGCGCTCCCTATGAGGCCACGAAGCGTGTGAGAAGATGCCAATATGGGGGGGGGGGGGCAACATTCGAACCATGCCAAGCGGGCCTTAGGTACGGCTCCGTATGGGGCCACTAAGCGTGTGAAGGAGCCTGCCAAGCCACACAAGAGGGTGGCGGCATGCGAGCCATGCCACTGAGGCCTTCGGTGGTGCTCCATATGGGGCCACGAAACTTGTGAGGAGTGCCAAAATGGATGGGGGGCGGCATGCGAACCATGCCACTGAGGATTTTGGTGGAACTCCCGATGTGGCCACGAAACGTGTGAGAGGTGTGCCAAATTACACGGGGGGCGGCATGCGAACCATGCCACTGGGGCCTTCGGTGGAGCTCCCTATGGGGCCTCGAAACGACCAGGCGACATGCAAGCCGTGCCACTGAAGCCTTCGGTAGAGCTCCCTATGAGGCCATGAAGCGTGTGAGGGGTGTGCCGAAGTGAGGGGGGTGGCGGGATGAGGAAGGCGGGGGGGCGCGGCGCAGGAGGAGGAAGAGGCGACGCGGGGACCGTCTTTTCAAAACGATGACCCACCATCACAGGATGGCTGGAAATACATGAACTCCCGCGTGCGAAGCCTAGTCTGGGAACGAACACTCCGACACAAGGGATAGCAATCTAATCAGATCAAGCGCTTGGCTCCCGCAAAGGTCCCTGCAACTGGCCCGCCTGCAGTTCGCAGGCGCTTGCAGGCGCACAGATACTCGCAGAAGGTCGCAAGCACCCACACCCGACCCTGGGCGATGAACACAAGCCCGCACAGCCGTTTGCAAGCGCTCACTGGCGCAACAAAAAAGCATGGCGGCGCCCATGCAAGCACGCTAACGCGTATGTGTGTGTATATATGTATTTGCTCGCGAGCACTCACGGGAGCTCAAAAGCGCTCACAAACACCAACGAGCACTTGTCTGCGTCCACGGTCCAGCGCACGCGCTCACGAGCGACCGCAAGCGCTCACAATAGCCCCCAGGCGTTCACGCACGTCCAGGGCATAGCAGGCGACCGCAGGCGGTTGCCGAAGTCAGTAGGCGCTGCGCCAACACGAGTCGACACGCGCTTGGGGCGACACCTGTCTGGAGCCCCAGGGGTACAAAGAGGTCACTCAGAACTTATAAAGAGTACTACAATCCTATGTATGGGGCCCGGTGCGCCGCCAAGCTCCTACCATGCGTTCTCTGAGGAAGAGGTATCTTGGCCGAGATTCCCATTGGAGGCGTTTCTTATCTACGACCCAGGATACTTCCCTCATCGCTGACAAACGTTATTCCCGCTCCTGCGGTCAGAACGCACTGTGGCGCAAGCTTAGCGCATCGAAACTGCACTGAAGGTAAACGCCTCCTGTCCTTCCACCACGCAACAATCGCACAACACTCCTCGTCCTCGTCTCCTGTGAAGGCTTCCTCTGAGCGTGGCGCACAGACGACGCTGAAGTGAACTGCGTCCATCAGCGTTCGAACAGTCACAAGACCCTCCGCCAACCTGTCGAAGAGCTCGGCGTCATCCAGGCCGTCCAAGGACTGCACGGCCGCTGATATGTTCCCACTCCCCTCTCCTCCTCCTCCTCCTCCTCCTCCTCCTCCTCCTCCAACTCCTCCTCCTCCTCCTCCTCCTCCCCCTCCCCCTCCCCCTCCCCCTCCCCCTCCTCCTTCTCCTCCCATGTCTCCCGCACGCTGACATGGACTACGGATCCGTGGATCTGGCGCGCGGGCGCCAGATCCACAGACGGGAGAGGGTACCCCTCGAAACATGAGGCCGGCGTCGCCCGATCTGGTCACGCGGCGTGCCGCTGCTGAGTGGGATCAGGACCCGCCGCCCATCCACGCGCGCTCATCCATGGCTGCGCTTGAGTCCCTCCGCCTCCACCTCTTCTTCCACGCCCGCTGATCTCATCCACCCGCAGCCGCCGCCGCGACCCTGCACAACAGGCATGGCCCATGCCGCCCCGTGCCTCTTCTGCCTCTGGCCCTGCTGGCCAGGCTCCCCGGGGGCACCCTCCAGCTCCACGGGCACGTTTTGAGCAGGCCCTGCCAGCTGTCCTGCATGCGAGAGCGGGAGCCGGAACCTCGCCCTGCCTCCCCCTCCGCCCTGGCAGTGGCATCGTCGACGGCCCCAGCCCCGCGGGACGCCCAGTGCTCGCCCTCCCCGAAGCGCTCGATGGGTGTCCCCTCTCTCCTCCATCGTGGACTGTGCTTCGGGCTTCTGCGCCCAAGACGGCCACGCAAGACGGCTTCAGCATGTCATCCACGCGGCCCGGGGCAGACCCAAACCCCGGCCTGAGAAGAAAGAAAGGGCAAGCAGAGCCGCGAGGTCAAGGTAAAGCTAGTAGGAGCTCGTACGGGAAAAAAAACGCTGGGCAGCAAAGCCCATGCGGAGGTGGAAGAGCACACGATACGCTGAATGTGTGGCAATTAGCAGCCTGACGAATCTGCGAACACGAAGCGGGTCAGAGGAGCGAGGCAGGGGCGAGCGTTGGCCATGAAGCGAAAGCGTCTGGGCACCTCGTAAGCTGAAAAGGTAGTTTGAAACCCTTTTGACATCGACTCGATGCATCAGCGATATCAAGGCAACTGGTACAATGATGAAACCCGTTTAGGTACCACGCAAGTCCGACATGTAGCCGAAAAAGCCGCTCGCCCTTGACACGACACGACAGGGAACCTGGGAGAAGCGTGTAATGACGACCTTGGCAAGCGTTCTACTCAAATCACCTTCAGACAGACTGATACACGCCTGCGACTTGCAAGTACAGACGATCCGCCACCGTGCCTGCGGGAGGCGTGGAAGAATGCCAAGGGCTGCCTGGCAGGGCTCCGTAGTCTACTCAATGACCCCCGCCCCCCGGTCACGCCCACCCGACTGCACCACACCTGCTGCTAGGGGGTCCTTCGGCGGCCATGGCACCTCCCGAAGGCTCTCCAAGGCTTCCATGACGGCCCAGGACGCCCACCCTTGCCGCCAAGAGGCCTCCAAGGCAGCCCGAGATCGCTTAAGACATCGAAGACGGCCCCAAGAATGCCCAAGAGGCCTCCAAGACGCCCCAAGAGGCTTCCAAGAGGGCCTCAAGAGGTAAGAACCATGTAATTTCCTCAGGAGTTTGAAAGATTTGGGCGTTCTCGCCTTTCCGGCTTCCCGCCGCTCCAAGACGGCCCAGGAGGCCCAAGACCACCCCAAACCGGCCCAAGAGGCGTCCAAGAGGGCCCCAAGACGGGCTAAAAGCTCTCCAACACGGTCCAAGGGGCGTCCAGACAGCCCAAGAGGGTCCCAAGACGGCCCCAAAAGGGGCCCAAGATATCGAACACGAACAGAACATCCAAGCCTTCCGCCCCAAGATGCCCCCAGGAGGCCCCAATAGGCGCCCAAGAGGCCCACAAGAGGCTCACAAGAGGCACCAAGAGGCCCCCAAGAGGCCCAAAAAGCCCCAAGAGGCCCCAAAACGGCCCCCAAGAGGCCTCTAAAGTGCTTCCAAGATGCCCCAGGGAGGCCTCCCACGAGATCCCAACGCACGTCCAATAGGCTTATTACTACCCACAACCCAGGCACGGTGGCGGGACTTGCCGTAGGCAGCTGGATCCGCCGCCCCCTGCTTGCAGGGGTGTACGGCGTGCTGGACGTTTCAGGTTTTGGTTTTGGTTCTTTCTCCAAAAGAACTCCCCAGTGGGCTCCGGCACGTCCCGCCGGGGTCCCGGGAGGAAGCCGAAAGGACCTCAATCCGGAAAAACATCCTCCAAAAAACGGCCGTTTCGCTCGGGACATCCTCAAAAAATCGCGAAGATGGCCCAAGATGGCCTCCAAGTCCGCCCGAGATGGTCCAAGACGGCCTCCAAAACGGCCCAAGAGAGTCCAAGACGGCCCAAGACGGTCCAAGAGGTCCTCCAGGAGAGTCCGAAGAGGCCAAAATCATTGATTTTTCCTTGGTTTTTGAAGGATTCTGGCATTTGCGCCTTTTCGGCTCTCCGACGGCTCGAGACGGCCCAAGAAGCCCCCAAGATCGCCCAAGAGGCCCCCAAGAGAGCCCCATGATGGCCCAAGTGGCCTCCAAGATGGCCCCTAGAGGGCCCCAAGAGGGCCCAAGAGGCCTCCAACACGCCCAAGATGGCCTCCCAGACGCCCAAGATGGCCTCCAAGACGGCCCTGGAGCATTCCAAGCGGGCCCCAAGTCGGCCCATAGAGGCCCCCCAAACGGCTTCCGACGGCTTCAGACGTGCCAGGAACCCACCAAGATGGCCGAAGTTGGCTCGAAGCTGGCCCGAGACGGCCCAAAAAGCCCCAAAGATCGCCCAAAGCTTGCCCAAGAGGCCTCCAAGACGGCCAAGATGACCTTCAAGATGCCCACGTGTTCCCCGAAGGCTTTCCAAACCGATTCGGGGAACACGTGGTCCGATAGCTTGGCAGGTCTGGCCTCAACGTTCGGCCACATAGGCGCTTCCAAAAAGGCAGGGGGCGGCGGTGATTCGCCGTAGGCGTCTTCGATACAAACGAGGAACACAAGGAGAAAGTAGGGGGCAAACCTACATACCTCGCTTTAGACCACCCTCGCTCCCAAGAGGTACCAAGCGATGCCAAACTGCGGCCTCCACTGGTTAGGCCGCTTGACGAGGAGGCGCGTGGTATGATCTGGTTCTGCCTGGAAGCGAAAGCGGGGTAGGTCATCCACGCTCTGAGAAAGGCGGATGAACAGCGCGCCTCGGGGTCGCCGTCGTGAACCGCCTCGAAGATGTACAGCAGCGACGAGCCCAGCATCACGATCAGGCAGAGGAAAAACAGCGGGATGCGCAGCGCGGTGGCACTGGCCGTGGAGGGTGCCGGCGGCAAGGGCAGAGAGAGAGAGAGCGAGAGAGAGGGAGACCAGCGAGGAGGAGGAGGAGGAGGAGGAGGAGGAGGAGGAGGAGGGGGTGCAGGAGGAGGAGGAGGCTGGCACTATTTGGATACAAGGGCTGCACGGAAAGATGGGTCAACTGCTCGATGCACGTGACGTGAACGCGGGTGGTCCACGATGAGAACACGGGGCCGACGTCCGCCCACCGTGTGAGACAACGCTGTATCGTGTGCTGGCCTGGAGTGCCACGCATTCCCGCGCACACCCCAACCTCTTCGGCCATGGAGCCGGACATGCCACACTGCCCCAGAAGTGGATCGGCCCGAGACCCATCGGAGACGCCTGCACCCGCCGATGCCCTGCGGTGTGGCAGCTCGGGCTATCAAAGTGCCGCGCGACTCGTTGGAGTGTACTCTCGACGTCAAAACGCATAGAGCCCACCTGGAGAGGGGAACACTCTATACTGGCCGCCGGCAGTTTCGATGATACGCACATATGCATGCACTGCATTCGTATACATGCACATGTACCTGCACATCTGCATATATTGGTACATGTGTGTGCGCGTGTATGTCGATAAACAGGCGGGAGTGGAAATTCTCGACGTCAGTGCTGTTCGTGAGAGCAAGAGCGGGGAATGCGAGGGCTTGGGGCCGCTACGGGAAGCCAGATCTGGCAGGCATCCGCGCCTTCACCCCGAAACGCCAACCACAGCACGCTCTGTGTTCACCGCACCACGCCACCGCCTTACATACATATATATATATATATATATATATATATATAACACACACTATATCTATATACACATATATATATATACACCCATATAACTACATGCATCTACATATGCACATACACACATTTAAACATATACATGTGTGTACATACACCCACCTCTCCGCCACCGCGCCCTTGAGGCACTCTTTGGAGTGTGCTCAGGTGCTTTCGTGTCAGTCTCCAATCCTGAGCACTCTCTGATCGGCCGGAGCTGGCTCCCCGCATGATCCCGAATGACTTTCTCTGACCCAAGGGCACCAAAAGGGGCATAGAGCGCCTCAAAAAGCTCCCAACACAGACCAAAAGAGGACCCCGAGTCGCCGAACGATCGGTCCAAGACGCCCAAGATGGCCTGAAGACGGCTGAAGAGGCGCCCAAGACGCCCCAAGAGAGGCCCAAGAGGCCTCACCCCCAAAGGCAACAATCGTCCAAAAATCTCGTGGGAAACAATTTACACTAAGTATGTACGGCTTTTGTGCCTCACGGCGTTCAAGACGGCCCAAGTGGCCCCCAAAATCGCCCCACGACGGCCCAACAGGCCCCCAAGAGGGGTACAAGGCCCCAAGAAGGCTCCGAGACTGCCTAAACAGCGCCAGGGCGGCCCTCGAGAGCCCCAAGACGGCCCCAGGATGAGCCCAAGAGGAGGCGCCCGAATCGACATATCGACTGCTCTGCCCCAAGATACCCCAGGAGGCCCTAGGAGGCCCCCCGAGAGGCCCCAAGAGGCCCCCCAAAGGCTCCACAGCTGCGGGAGGGCCCGCAGCTTCGGCACGCGTGCGTAGCGAGTGCGCAGCCGCAGCGGCACGCGAGCCGCGTAGCAGCGCACCTCCTCCCTGATGGATCAGCAGATCACCCGCTCTCTGCGCAAGGACTCTGCGGAAATCACGCATGGGGGATGTTCAGGCCTTTGCCTGCCGTCGCGTTGCCGCCGCAACGTGGGCAACTAATCCTCGAGGATCAGATGGGGCCCAACGGATGGGGTATGCTGATGCCCTCGCCGCAAGGGCCGTACCCACCTCAAACCAGCCATGGCCCTCTGGTGGTGGTGGTGGTGTCGTTTCTCCTTCCTCCGACCTCCCCCCCAGCTCCTCGTAACCTGCTGGCTGTGGGCAGCGTCATCCAGTGGATCGAAGCCCGAATCTCCTCCTCCTCCTCCTCCTCCTCCTCCTCCTCCTCCTCAAACCTCCTCCTCCTCCTCCTCCTCCTTCTCTTCCTCCTCCTCTTCCTCCTTTTCCTCCTCCTCCTCATCCTCCTCCCCTCCCCCTCCTCCTCTTCCCTCCTCCTCCCTCCACCTCGCTCCTCAGATCCTCCCGCTCACACCGTGAGCCCCCCGATGGGTGGCGAGCCATGGGCCTGTCCGCCAGCGCCCGGAATAGCAGCTGCCAGCCCGAGAAGTACCGGGCCAGCTTCAGGAACCGCAGGAACGCCTCTCTGGCCGCGCGCGGCGGCCGAGCGCGCCGAGGCCTTCGCTCTCACAGCGTGGCGGCCGCCTCGTGGCTGCACGCAGGAGCAGCTCTAAGCGGCAAGCGTGGCCCTGAGTGCGCAGCTTCAGGGGGCCGCGAAGTGCCGACACGCCGTCCTCCAGAAGTGCCCTAGGGTCCCAGCACCTGACGTGCAAAGGTGGGAGGCGTGGGACTGCGAGCGTAAGCGGTGCTCCCGGCAACAAGCCCCCCCCATAACCGGCTCTGCGGTAACAGCAAAAGGCAAGTGCGCAGGCCATATCCACAAGTGACGCGCCCTTTGTGCCACCACGCGTACACATCACGCACATCACACACACACACACCTCTGGGCACCCTCGCCTCAAACATTCGCCTGGCCAAGGACCCAACCAGATGCAACTGCGAGTAGTGCGAGACAGGTGGAAACGAAGGGAGGGGGGCTAGCTAAACGACTGAGGCGTGCGTGGAAGAGCGGGGCGACATTGCTGATGGGGTCGCCAAGGTCAGCAGCAGTCCGCTGGGAGGCGCTCCGCGGGGAGGCGCTCCCTCTGCTGGCACGCGCGCGCGCGGAGCGCAACGGCCCGCGCACCTCTCCAGAACCGCGGAGGCGTCGCGCCCCGCGGGGGCACGGCCCGGCGAGGGTGCACCCCGCCCCGCGCGGAGCCCTCGGGCGCGGCGGGGGGGAGGGGGGGTGCGGAAGCGAAAGCGAGGGAAGGGTGTCGGTACTGTGTCTCCTCTGGGCAGATGGCTGGCACCCCCACGCCAATCCGCAGCGCGTGCTTTGGCGAGGGGGACCCAAGACGCACGCAGCCTGCCTCCGTGAGGCGGGAGGCCCACGGAGGCTGCGTCGCCCCGCAGCGCGGGCGGTGAGTGTGGGCGAGGGTATCGGATAACGAACATGACGTCTGTCCAATCGTGGGTTGGGGTAAATGTGTGCATATAGATACATTCATACATCTATATATATATATATATATATACACATTAGGCACACATGGATGTATAGATGTTGCGCATGTGTGGGGCGCACGCGAATATCGGTACCCCTGGTCTTCCTGCCGTGAAGAATGGAGGCGGGGGCGCCCGTCTTCTCTTCTTCTCTGTTCGCCTCACGCTTGCTTCCCCTCATGTTAGGTGTACCTGTATTTCTTTCTTTCTATCTCTCTCTCTCTCTCTCTCTCTCTCTCCCACACTCGTTCTACCTATTTGTTTCGTTTGCTCTCTCTCTCTCTCTCTTTTTTTTCTCTCTCTCTCTCTCTCTCTCTCTCTCTCTCTCTCTCTCTTCTTCTTAAGAAGGCGCTCGTATGGACTTCTGACCCTTTGTGGGGGTCCACAGATCCCAACATCAGGGTGTTTCACATCGATTCCCTTTGTGTGTGTGGCGATATATACAGATTGTTTCGTTTGGGGGGGGGGGCCTGGCCCTGGGGAAAGTCCCAGGAACAAAAAAAATGCCCCCCCCCGGGCCCACAGGCACTGTTTTTTGTTGTCCGTGGGCCCTGGAAAAAAAGGGCCAGTGGATTCGGGAGCCCGCTTGTTTTGCCCTTGGGGCCCTCTCCCCAGGGCCCAGCCGTCTGTGCGAGGATGCAAGGCAGTGGTGCACCGTAGGCGGCAACCCCCGTGCGGCAAGCCCCGCGGGTGTCAGCAGCATTTCCTCCTCTTCCTCCTCCTCCTCCTCCTCCTCCTCCTCCACTTCTTCCTCCTCCTCCTCCGCCTTCCCCTCCCCCTCCTCCCTCTCCTCCTCCTCCTCCTCCTCCTCCTCCTCCTCCTCCTCCTCATCATCCTCATCCTCATCCTCATCCTCATCCTCATCCTCATCCTCATCCTCATCCTCATCCTCATCATCATCACCACCACAATCATCATCATCATCATCATCATCATCATCATCATCATCATCATCATCATCATCATCATCATCATCATCATCATCCCCCTCCTCCTCTCAATGCATCTCCCACTCTTGTCCTGGTTCTCCTCCTCCTCCTCACTCCCATCCTCTTCCTCCTCCCTCTCCTCCGAAGCTTGACAATTTTGAGACGAGGCCTGTGACGGCCTCTCGGAGTTCGGTCCCGCTGTAGGGATTGGGTCTTCCGCTGGGATCGGACCGTGGCGCCTGACCCCTTGCGCACCCCCTCCTACGACCTGCTCGTCCTGCTTGCGGAATGCTATCCGCCAGAGGCCAGTAAGACGGGCAAGTGGAATTTAAGCAACAGTCGGGGCCACCTAACAATGGTATGACATTCCCGTCGCGCGGTGGCAGGGTCTGAACGTGCACCCAGGGATCCCGCCGAGGAGGGATCAAAGGAATTCTCCTCCTGCCCCCCCTCTTTCTCCTGCTGTTCCTCCTCCCTCGGACCACTTCCGGGTCATAGGTCGGGTCTCAGGTGGCCCTTCGGGGCGATTCCGAGACAACCAGAATGTTCTCGGCGGGGCGCGGCTGTTGGAGAGCTCTCCAGTCGCCATCGTCATTGTCATCCTCGGCATCGTCAGCCTCGTCATCACCAGCATATCCAAACCACACTCGTTACCACCATCGTCATCAACAAGGTCTTGGCAATCATTATCGTCATCACCACCCCCAGAAAGAATCAGAAAAGTAATCAACAACAAATCGTATGGGGACTATGTTTTTTTTGACCAGTTGGGGATATGTTTTGAGTATTTCTTATTGTTCGTCGAAAAGCCCACTGCAGGGGGACACGAACGACTTAATTCTGGTCTCGGTCGCGGCCGATCTGCTTCACAACCGGTCGCGGCCGACGGCCGCAGCGCGCGACGAGCGGGCGCCCCCCGGGGCGCGGCACGCGCCGAGAGCACCCAGAAACGCCCCGCAGGCCGCCCGTTATGCCGAACATGTCCGGTGAGGCCCTGGAGGAACCGGTCGCGGCCACACTTCGGCCTCCAATCGCGAATTCTGCCTCCTCCTCCTCCTCCTCCTCCTCCTCCTCCTCCTCCTCATCCCTCCTCATCCTCCTCCTCCTCCTCCTCCTCCTCCTCCTCCTCCTCTTCCTCCTCCCTCCTCCTCCTCCTCCTCCTCCTCCTCCTCCTCCTCCTCCTCCTCCTCCTCCTCCTCCTCCTCCTCCTCCTCCTGGTAACGAGCGAGCCGTCGACGGCCTCGAAACCCCGACGCGCCATTCTTTCATTACCAAAGATCGGCACCCTGCTGTCGCGACCGGAATTCGGCGCGCCCGAAATCCGTTACCGAAAATTCCCGGTCGCAGATGATGCGGGCCGCAGCGCCATAACACACCCTGAGATCCGGTCGCTGCATGTTTGCCTACACTGGCCGTTCTCGCCCATCGATCTGGCTCGGCAAACACAATAGCAACAAATTGGGTCTGGAGCTCCCGTCGTGATTTTTGTTCGCTACAGTCGGGGCGTTGACCTAAGGAACCCTAAAAAAGGAACGAGGCCCCTTTTTCCCATAAGTTAAACTTCGATTCCCCATCGAAACCCCAAGCAAAACCAAAGGCGAACTGCAAAACAACTAAGGAACACCGAGCCCCTCCCCAACGAAAAGGGTTCCTTCCTCAGCGCCCCGACTGTATGCTGCACCTTCTTTGTCGCAGCGTCGGATCTCAGGGACCACCACGCCTGGCCCGGGCCCACCCGCGGCCCTGGCGTGGGACGTGCGCCCTCCCGGCCGAGGCGAGGCGGGTCCGTGCACCATCCTGCGCCCGGCACCTCCGTGGCATCCTCATGCCCGAGCCCGCTGGAGGTCGAGGCCACGGTGCCTCCCACGCCTCCCGGATCTGGGGCAGTGCTTTGAGCTGCGGAGTCTGATGCGGTTCGAGAGCGTCCCGGAAGTGCTCTGGGGGGGTCCTGGGAGTGGGTTGGAGCCCTCGTCCGTCGTCGTCTGTGGCAGGTGCGGAGGCGAAGAGATTCAGTGGCCGATGTGGGCACCAACCTGGAGGTCCCGAGGTGGCCCTGGCCAGGCATGGTGGTGGTGCAGAGACGCCGTCTGCGGATGGCAGGCACCAGAGGGTGCCGCGGATTGCAGCACAAAAACGACGACAAGAACTGCGAGAGCGCTCACTGGCCCGGACATCCGATGTTCTGTTATTTTCGATACGGGGTCCCCAGAGGTCCCCACCCTTTCCCTTGGAGTGGATTTGCATCCTGCAAGCGTTCCTTGACGGTCCCCGGGCGCAACGAACAACAAAAACGTCCGTCTTGTTTTTGTGGGCGAGGCGAGAAGCGGTTCCACGCCGAGGATCTTTTCGGAAGCCGCCACGCGCGCATTTGTCGCTGGCGCCTGCCGGCCCATGGTCCCAGTCCCTGTCTCGCCTGAGGCACCGAGAAGCCGGACAAGTTTAAGCACTGATTGTGCAGGAGGGAGCGCGCTCGTTGCCAATCGGCCCGAAGATGGAGGAAGAGGAGGAGAAGGAGGTGGAGAGGGTAGGAGGAGCAGGAGTAGAATGAGGAGGAAGCCAAAAGAGAAGACAGGGAAGGAAGCGCGAGAGAGAATGGGGGGCGGCGAGGGCCAGATCGACCGTAGCTGCTCGAACCTCCGCCCGGAAACTGGGTCTTACCCTAGGCCGCGAGGGGCAGCAGGAGCTGGGCAAGAGTCCACGCCTACGAAGATACACAAAAAGGGTGCGAGGCCTGGGCCCTGGGAACCTATCTAGAGGGTGCAACAGGCAGAGCGAGTGAGAACACCAAGCCGCCACCGGGTGCGGAACAGAGCGAACGCCAGGCCACACAGTCAAGCCGCTGCCACAAGGAACGCAGCACGAGGAGCGACGCCACTTTTTTGGCACCAGAAGCGCCTCGGTGCATAAAAGGGGACTCAGGAACAACCACGGAATGACGTAAGGAACAGCAAGCGTCTTCCGAACCTAACGCGGTCCTTATTTAAGCGTCTCGACTGTACAGGGAAGAAAAATGGTGACTAGCAGAAACTGTGGGCAGCGCAGTGCATACCTGGACCGCTCACTGGTGCGGATCGGCGTCGCTTTCAGCCTGCTCCTCTGCGAGGGGCGAGCACTCAGCGCCGCCCTCCTCTGCAACGCTTCCCTCCTCAGAGAGACAAGAAAGGCATAGACATCATCTGTCGGAGCTCCGCGCGGGTCTCTTGGATCGGCGCTGGACACCCCTCCCTGGCGCGCGGAGCGCGCCAGGGGAGGCGCTGGAGGCGCCGCATGGGGGGCCCCGCGCCGCTTCAACAGTGTGTGTCTATGCTTGTGCCGTGTTCTCTTCTTCGGTTCCTGGGCCGCGGCCGCGTCATCCTCGGCAGCACGACGCCCCGACAGCTCGGCGATCAGCGTCCACCGAGCGAGCGCCTCCTGCACCCGCGCGCTGCTGCAGGGCCTGTGCCCGCGCACGCTGCCCCTGCCCAGCTGCTTGAGAGCGTTCCTCAGCTCGGGACCCCTGACGAGCGACTCTCCCCTGCGATCCAACACCTGCGAGGCCGATACGGACTACCTACCAGACAGCCCCAACCCAACCCGAAGACCCGAATTTGACCAGAATTTCGGGTTGGGCGGGGTACGGGTTCCATGCGTCTTTTCAATGTTCCCCGACCCCCCCCCGGAAATCGATGATAAATTTGGGCCTTCGGGTTGGGTTGGGGTGGTTTGGTGGGTGGTGAGATACGGCAAGTTCGTGTGGTGATGACCCCCGCGTTCACCCACCGCGTGGATCGTTCAGCCCGGGAGGATCAGCGGCTCTCCGATCACCAGATCGTTTCATGTTGGCCAATTCGGGGTCGCCAACGCCGTTCGGCCTTGAACGCTAGCGGTGGGGTCACAACCGCGTCGACACAACACGAGCTTACCGTACCCAAAGTCCTCCTATACCAGCCCTGAGAAAGACACGCCTGGCCGTCTCCGGCACGCCCCGAATCCAAAGATTGACGCACCACGCTTGCTTTCAGCGCCTTCCGCCGACCCGGCGCAGGATCTGCCGGCGGACCCTGGCACGATGCTGCCGTCGGGCCGCGGAGGCAGGGAACGGCCAAGAAGGGCTGAAGCCCCTCGTGGGCCGCACGAGGCGTCAGCGTGCACGAGCAGGGCTGGAGGAGCAACCGCAGGATGACCCAGGGAACATCGAGCCCCCTTCGTGCCAAACCCGTTCCTTCGTGCAGCGTCTCGATTCTACATCCGCCGGCTTCCGCCCGGCTTCCGCCGAGGGCGACCCGCGTCGAAAGCGAGGCCACTTCCGGAGCGCCCTGGGCGACCCGCCTCCCCAAGACATTGGCACAGCCTCAGGCCGTGCGAAGGCACACGCCACGGAGAGAAGCGAATGGATGGGCACAGACCCCGCGTTCGCAGACCATTCTTTTGGAGTCCCGAAACGGTGCGATGACAGACCGTGCGGTGACCTCGAGATCCCCCAAGACCTCACCGCACGGTCCGTCACCGCACGGTCTTGGGACCCCTGAGGCCCCTGTCGCCCGAGACATCCTCGGAGAACGACCCGAGTCCCAAAACCGTGCGGTGACCCCGAATCCCCACTGACTCACCGCACGGTGTGGTCACCACCCCGTTTGGGGGCCCCCGAATTCTTGAACAACCACTCCCCATGACGAGTGTCTGCCCTGTGCCGGGGTCAAGTGAAACAGCGGGCTGCTAAGCGCTTGCAGCCGATCCCTGAGGCCAGGGCGTTCCAGTCTCACCTGGCCGCGGCCCCCAAGGACATCACAGTTCGATCTGGCTCGAAAAAGGCTCCAGAAACATGGTCCAGGACCCTGGTCGCGGTTTTTCGCGATGACATTCTAGCTTCGCAAAGTCGAGTCTCAGGGAATAGAGCGACCCCGCAATCCTACTCTGAAGGAGACCGAAGGCTGCAAAACGTAGCACAGGCAGCGCTGCGGCATGCGTTCTGTTGTCCTTACGTTGGGGGCATCAGCTCATGGAAAGGGTGGGCGCGGTAGCCCTGCCTGCGGTCAAACTTATTAACACAACGATGCCCACGAGCTCCTCCGAGATCTGACCACCTCGCGTGCGCACAGATCTTTCTGGTAACGCTTCGGGCAGCGCGCAGACAACCCCCCAAAATAACCCCAGCTTGCCTCAACAGACCACCAAGTAGTCCGGGACGGTCTCAACATCTCAACACTGGGGCGCGGAGCGCCCCAGGGGCGCCGCTGGAGGCGGCGCCAAGGTGTCGGCACCGCCCTGGACTACTCAAGGAGCCTGCAGGGGCCGGCCGGGACTGCTTCGGGGGCTGTGCGTGCGCAGCCCGAATCCATGCAACATCTTCCCAGGCTGGCCCCACGACCTGGGTCAGCCAACTGCCGCACGCGTTGCGCTCCCGCGGCTTCAGCAGGAACCGCTCGCAGCAGGCCGCGGTGAGGGCGCAGCACTCCGCCGGGAGGAGCCGATCTACGGCGGCCGCCACGTCCCGAGGCTTCGGCAGCACCTCGGGGGCCGCGATGGCCTCTCGGAGAGCCACATGGAAGCAGCGGTGGCCCTCCCACCCCAGCCCAGCCCAGGCCCAAGAGGCGACCAAGATGTGTGTTTTTTCTTGTCGCGGGCCCAGCCGTGGCGACGAGGCGCTCCCCGGAGCCCCCACAAGAGTGGGCAGAGAAGACAAGCGCCAGGTGTGCAAACGCGTGCCCCAATTTTTTTTTGGGGGGGGGGGTGATCCGCGGGTCGAGAGCGCACCTCTTCCGGTCGAAGCTAAGCGGGCCGCGCGAAGCTTGAGCGCGTGCCCCCAACAGTGAGATGCCCAAGTGTGGATGTGCAGACAAAGGTGTGCCGTGTGAGGCACGAGGTGTGGGATCCCTGTGGTGTGCACTGCGAGGTGTAAGCTACGTGGGGCAACGTGCGTGGTGCCATGTGTCGTGCGAGCTCTGCGATTTAAGCTACGTGGCGTCATATATGGTGTAGGACCGTCGCGATGTAAGTGCTGCGCTGATATATATATATATATATATATATATATATATGTGTGTGTGTGTGGCGATACATGTGCTGTGTAAACTATGTGGCGTAGGCGATGTAGTGCAAAACCATCGGTGCACTGTACGAAATGCAATATAGGTGGTTGAGGCGATGTGCGATCAACTACGTGGTGCAATACAGTTTTGCCCACTCATGAGTTGTCAACTCCGCTCCTCGCGCAACCATCCCAAAGTCCCACCCGCAACTTGTTTTGTAAAGCCCATGCGGCGGCGATTGCGATGACTGCTTGACCCTGGCTGGCGCATTTTTGCGGCCGCGCTGGCGCGCGCAAGCTCGCGCGCAGAGCGGCCAGCTGGCGGGGCGCAACCGATGCGACCGCGATGGCGCTTACCGATGGCAACTTCCCAGCGCGTCTTGAAGACCGCGCTGGCGCGCGGGCACTTCAATGCGGGCCGCTGTCTCGGGCGGGCGCGGCATCAGGATGACTTCGACAACGGCAGTAACTATTACGATGGTATCGATGGTGGTGGCGATGATGACGATGACGACAGCAAGGCCAATGACGTCGCCGATGTTCGCTACGCCGATGACGATGATGATGTCTATGTGTCGATGATGAAGGTGCTTGAGAGGTGATGGCGGCCATTCCGGCGATTGTTGATGTCGATGGCGTGATGCGGCGGCACTGATGAGCGTGATGAAGAGAAAGTGCGCGCGCGGATACTCAAGAACCAAAAACAAATTGTGTGAACAAAAACATGTGCTGTTTATGCCATACGTGTTTTGATCGCACTATTTTGAATTTCTTGGAAAACCATGTTTTGGGAAGGATTTCGGCACGCTCGTGTGGCGGCGCGCCCGTGTGGCCCGCATGGCATCATTTGATACGGACCCGTGCGCTGGGCGCCTGCTGGATCAACGCGGATGCACCGCGTGGGGAGATGAGAATGCGGATTCTGGGCGCGATTGCTAATCCTCATATGCTTTTCATACGAGTTCACCAAATTCGCGCGCCCGCATTTACTTTGAAATGTTTGGTGTGGAAAGCATACTGCTTTTCATTGCTGTATGATTATGTTGAAATGCTAGAGGACGTTGTGTGATTGGTGCATGTTCAACATGTGCGCGCGCGGGTGGACTTCGCGCCGCTTTTTTGCAAGGGAACCTTGACACATCATAGTTTGCGAGCAACGGGTGCGCGCGCATAGTACTTGTTGGCAAGGATGAGAAAGGGGAGGTGGCTATACCCGGCCTGCCTGGGGGGGATGGTACGACTTCAGATGGAACACGAAGGATGAGGCAGAACCATACAATCGATGTGGTGCATTCGATTTGGCATGAGCTACGAGGCGTAAGCTGTGCGCTGAAATTTGCGTGATTTGAGCCATGTAATGTACGCACGGTGCGCCCACGAGGCAGCCACGGGCGGCAACGTGGCGGAATCTCGCCGCACCCACCCAGCGCACGAGGCGGCCACGAGGCGGCAACGTGGAAAATGCTCGCCGAACCGACCCAATTCCTTCGTGGTACAAGTTCAAAAAAAGAGTGCAAGCACTGTTTGGGGAATTGCCATGGAACCCTGTGCTGCGAAAAATCGCAGCATTGCCAAACACCACGACCGAAACCCTGGACCTATCTTCCTGAGGCACTCTTCCGCGCTGGATACTCCAGATTTCGCAATAAAAGGGAGAGGGTCAGGACCCTCCAAGACAAGCCATTTCAGACCTCCCCCGTGGGAGAACCCTCCAAAACATCGTCCCCAGACCCCCCCAGGCCCTCCAAGATAGCTTGGAAAAGACCCCCCCCGAAATGAGACCCCCCTCCCTTTATTACGAAATCTGGAGTACTTCGATGCTGTGGCCCGGAATCCAAGCCAAGCAAAAACGCCCGGCGTGGGACCATTGCAGCGCCAGGGCCTCGAGGTGAGAGGGCCGCCGCTGCCTCGACTCTGGCCCTCCCTCGAGCCTCGAGGTCGCCCTCCTCCACCGCCAGCCGCGCCTGGAGCGTCGCTGAATGGTAGGGCCAAGAGACCTGCACCTCTCGTCTCCCTCTTGGGCCCTGGGGGGCCCATTTAGGGCCCCGGGCCCCTTGGGTGCACTCTTCTCCACCCCCAATCCACCCAAATATGCAATGCCCTAGTTTTTTCGGATCCCCCGAAGTCCCGACCGTTTCCCCCAGGGCGGCTCTTCGCCCCGCGATTTCTGTTGACGGTCCTGGGGCCAGGCGACGGCCCCCAGAGGCCGAGCACGGCGAACAAAGCCTCCGGCCATGTTTTCGTTCATACGACGCGTGCATGTCTGGGCTTCTCGCCCCCCATTGCGCGACGCCGGCCGCGCCAGGCGCACGAGCTCCTCCGGCCCGGGCCGGCTCCCCTGAGGGGCAACGATGCGGGGAGGACTGGAACAGGCAGGAGAGCCCAGAATGGAATCGATAAGTCGGATCGGCGATCGGAATGGATCGGATCGGCGGAAATCGGCAGCCGAGTCGGGAAAAGTCGAATTGGCGTACATCGGCAGGCTAGTAGGCCTCCAGAAAGGAATCGGAGCCCAAATCGGAACCCAAAGTCGAATCGAATCGAAATCGGAAGCCATCGAAATCGAATCGAATCGAATCGGAGGAATCGAACTGGGCCCTGACAGGGGAGGACACGTCGACATGGAAGCGGCGAGGCGTCGACGACAGATCGGCGATAAGCCCCCCATCGCACAGCCGCACGTTCCTGCGTTCGGGACGACCGGGACGCTCCCGCAGGGAGGGCAGAGGTCGGGGGACGAAACGTGTCCGGAGGCTCCTGCGCAGGGAGGGCAGAGGTCGCGGCACGAAACGTTCACCCACGCACCAAACCACCCCCCAGCCCCACCCGAAGACCCCCCCCTTACCAGCCTCGAGCGTATCCCTATCCCTGAGCTTGACACGCCAAAAGGCGATGACAACCTTAGGGATGCACCCTCCAAAAATGCGGGAACTCCCAAGATCGGCATCGTGATGAGGAGGTGCCCAGCATGAGGGATGGGGATCTGTTCCAGGCTGGCAACCCCCATCCCCGCGCACGCCGCCGGTCCAGCCCCTCCCGAGCCCATCGCCCCCGCCCTGTCGTTGCCCCCGCAACCCCGCCAGCCTCCGCGCGCGCCGCCAAAGGCGGCCCCCGCGGGCCGCCGCCCCCGCGGAGCTCCCGGAGGTGGCGCCGCCACACGCTCGGGTCGCAGGCGTCCTCGCCGCCCGCGCCGGGCTCCGGGGGCGCGGCGTCCTCGGGCACGCGATGCCGTGCCATCGCTCCGCTCGGACGTCCAGGTCTCTATATATGCATTCTTCGGCTCCGTGCGCGCCCTCGCTTTCGAAGGGTGGCCCAAGAGGCGCCTCGAGGGTCCGCGCCGAGGAAGCAAGCGCACGTCCGAGCGATGCAGGACCCCCGGCCCTCCATGACAGGGGATACACCGGCTCCTATCCCCGACGCCGTGGAGTTTTCGAATGGGCAACAAATTTTTGGGCCCAGCCAGGGGGTACACCAAGTGGGGCGTCCATTGCTCGATAGGGGTGGGCCCGGAAAGCCCCCTGGGAGTGTATCCCCGAGTTCCTCTCCCTTTCTGAGCGGCTTGACTTTTCGTCGAAAAGTGTGTTTGTGTGTGTGTGTGTGTTGTGTGTGTGTGTGTGTGTTTGTGTGTGTGTGTTTGTGCGTGGTGGTGGGGGGGGCGGGCGAGAAACCACCTGCGACTCCACCTCCCACACCGTCCGACCAGCAGGTGCCCTGAGCTTCCAGAAGGACCAAAAAATAGCACCAGGGCCTCGGCATCTATCCCTGCCGAGGTTTCAGGCAGTGGAGGGCTATTTTCTAGCCCTCTGGAAGGTCAGAATTTCACATCGTTCAACCAGCAGATGGCTGATCGAGTCGTCTTCTCGAGAGACAAGCACCATGAGCATAACCTTTCGAAGCTCCACGCGGATTTCTTGGATCGGCTGTGGACCCCCCTGGCGGCGCCTCCGGCGCCGCCCCGCGCCGCCCATGGTGCGCTCCGCGCGCCAGGCAAGGGGGTCCAGCGCAGATCCAACAAAATCCGCGCGGATCTCTGAAAATTTGTTTATACCAGTTTCCGCTCTTCGAGAAACTCACTGAGTCAGCATCCTGCTGGTCGGAAGGTGCGGAAGGTGGAGGGTCAAGACAAAAACACTGCGGAAGGTCTTTTGCCGTGTTCGGCCTCTGAGGGGCCTCGCCAGCCCCTGGGACCGCCAAAAAACGCCTGACTAACAGTGCGCCAGTTCTTGTGCTCCTTGCACGATAGGCACATGTATCACAAGTTCTTTAGCTACTTACCGTAGCAAAGTATGGTTACGTATGAACAATCTACCAAAATCGCTCGATGATGATGGTTCAGAGTCAATTAGCAGCCACTTGGAACCATATCCAAGCATTTAGCTCTGAGTGTTGACAGGCGCACTCCTCCTCATCGCCTCACTCCAGTCATCGTCTGTTCCCCCTAGCCTCCGATGGACAATTTTATGGCGCAGCCCATGGCTGGTGGAACTCATGATGCAACGTGTTGCTCAACCCATGGCGCAGCCAATGGATGGTGCGACCATGGCGCAGCGAATGGGTAGGGCAGCCTAATTGCACAACTGATGATGTTGTGCGGACATGACCAGACTGGCCTCGGCCGTCCCCACTCCTCGTTCCCCGTCCTGCTGCCACCATCCCCATCCCCTTCTCCATTCTTTCTCGCCTTCCTCGTCCTCTTTTTCCCCCACGGTTACGATCGCCAGGGCGGGACCAGCACTCAGGGGGGTGAGGCGACCAGGATCGCTTTCAGGCGATCGTTTGGGGGGGGGAGGAGGAGACCTGTGAGAACGAACTTTGGAAGGAGCAGCGCATGCGATCGCAATAGAAGACTGTGATCGTCGTGCTGCTAGGCCCTTGGTAAAAGAAACAAAAAACGAAGTAGCGTAACCGTCACATCCCTGTGCCATGCTTTTGGTATCACATTGATACCAGAGTCTTATCGTGCGATATATTCTTCGACGTAGCAATCGGGTGACAATCGAACGCATATTGCATACATCACAAGGTGGAACAGCGTGGTCAACGTAGGGACACATGATATCATATCTTGAACGTTGTGTTATCATGTGATGGCGTGATGGCGTAGGAACTTGTTGGTATCAGCTTGTGGCCCTGCCTCGCCACCTGAAGACAACCCGATGATAACAACATGGTAGCAACGCGAAGCCACTGGAGCTGATTACGCTCCTGGGGATACTTACGTAAGGAGTAGCGCTCGCAACCGAGGTCGCGCGACGCAGTCCTAGTGTCTCGGTGAATGTGTATGATCAGGATGCGTATGGAAGGGCACGGGGCGCGCGAGGAGAAAGAGGAAGGAGGAGAATGAGGACGAGGACGAAGAGGAGCACGGTGACGAAGAGGGGTCGCAGGCGAAAGCGGGGAAAGAGTGAGTGCCAGAGGCAGGAGAGGCGGGTGGGGGAGAAAGAGCTGAGCCGACCTGATCATCGCCGTGCCAATACAACGAATGTTGAGCACTCTGTTGCCTCAGCCATGGATTTGCGCCAGGGGTTGCGCTACAGGTGGCGCCATGGGTTGCGCCGTCCATGGGTTGGCGCCATGGGGTGCGTCATCCAAGGGTTGCCCGATAGGTTGCGCCACCCATGGGTTGCACCCTTAATTGCGCCATCCATGGATTGTGCCATAGACTGCCCCTTTTCACGGGATGCGCCATAGGTTGCGCCATGGATGACATGACATCCATGGCCCAATAGGTTGTGCCTTCGGATGCCGAAACTAAGCTGCACGATGTTGTTGCGTCGTGGGTTGGGCCCTCGGGGGGCGAACATGTGCGGCTTGGCATTGGTTGCGCCATGGACGGCCGAAACTCACACAGCCTGCTACTGGTTGCGCCATCGAATGCGCCCGTGGCGGCCGAAACTATAACGGCCAACATCAATAACAATCAAATCGGGTGACACCCGAAATGAAGACGAGGATGGGGAACCAAACATGGACTCGGGGCTGAGCGGGATCGGCTCAAGGAGATTGGTTTGGGACCTGGCGAACTGCATCGTGCGGCCTAATGCGTTATAATCGCACCCAGTCTATCCCGACGCGACCTGTGCAGATATACGTATAGCTTACAAGCCCTTCTACAAGTAAAGCTAAATTGTGGTGGACACTCATAGGTCACTTGCCCCTCCCGGCTAAGTGTGAGAACCTCTGAACTAGAAATGCAGCTGAGCTCGCCTTGCACCGCCAAAGCACAACTCATTAGACCTACCAACAACCACCATGACATCTTAGGAGTTTCAGCCTTGTTTTATGCAGCTCGTACCCACTACACCTAGGTTGCAAGTGCCATAAGACCTCGCGCCCTTTCAGCGGGATGAAAACTGGCCCTGGGGAAAGGGTCGGGACTCCCAAGGGTTTCCTGGGACACCGTCGGGACTTCCGGGGGGAAATTCCGGTTTCGGGTCACGGATCGACCGGGCTCGAAACATGCGCAGAAGCATGGAGTCTAGGGCTTCAATGGTGATGCCCCCTGACACCCGCCGATGTGTGTTTGTTTTAATCCACGTCCCTGCAATTCCCAGCTCGTTTCCCGAGGTAGGTCTTCCGTCCCGGATCCACGTTTAGTGGTCACCAGGGCCCGATAGCGGGCCCAGAGGCCGAAATCGAGAAGCTGCCAGAATTAAAAAGATAAGATCGTCGGATATCTGGGTGTCGCTGTAGTTGTTTTTCGCACCGTTGGATGGTCGGATGCCCTGGTCAATGGATGCCATAGTTGTCAGGTCTCGACTGGCGGGGTCCGTCGCTACCCATGCTGCTTCAAATTCCGGTACCGGTCGCGACCGATGTTCTTCAAAATCGCTCGCGGCCGATTTGGAGTGCCGATCGATCGCTAACGATCGCGACCGACAGAATCCAGCACTCAATGACTGACCTCTCAGAGTGCTAAAGAAGCCCCGCTGACCTCCAGGCCCACCTCGACTGCTGCGAACCTCGGCTGGAGTCTAGACGTCGAGGTCCTGGTGCTGCTTCTGTTAGCCCTCCTGGAAGACTCTGGCGCTCCTCGGGTCGACCTCCGGGTGGCCCCAATCCTGGTACCATCGCGGTACAGGGCAGTTTTTTAATGCATATCATGTTGTTTTGTTTATATATATATATATATATATATATATATATATATGATTTTAATAATGATTCATTTATGAATAAATGTATGCATGAACTCACCGTTGTTTTTGATGATGCTTCCCTGCATCTTTAATACATGATCCGCACGCGGAGCATGTATAAAAAAACGGCACTGTAGGATCTGATACGAATTATCGACATATCTGAGACGGCACGATGCTGCCATGACAAACCTACACTGGCAAGGATGACAGAGACATGCCCTTCAAACAAAAAATGATGTTGCGATGCACCCATTCCCCCGCGGACGCCCCCTTCTTTCCCACCCGCTCTAGCGCCCCCACCCGGCACGCCCTGCTGCCAGCGACTTCCGCGCCAGCGCCCGCTGCTGCCGCTGACTGAAGAGTTACGATGCAGCGCGAAGTGCCGAAATGTGGGTCAATCGTCGACGTTGAATCTCAGGGGGTCCTCCAGGCCGCAGCCGTCGGAGCTCTGCGACGACGCGTCGGCCTCCTCCTCCTGCTCCTCCTCGGCGGGCGCGTCGCCTGCCGCGGCTGCGGGGAAGGGGGGGACACTGCTGCGCCGCCTGTACAGTCGGACTTGACTGGAGACGACACGCGAGAGGACAAAAGACTCTTTCCGAGGGGCACACTGCCATAGGAATGTAGGAGGCATGGGTCGCGAGACACAGGACACAGGGGTACCCTTGACTTGGCAGGGTCGACCTACTAGTCTGGGCCGACTGTAGGTGCACTGCTGCTGCAGGGCGTCAGGAGGCAGCTCCTGGGAGGTCTTCGTCAGAACGCCTGCGGGGCCACTGACTCGGACGGGGCGGGATGAAGCCCGGGAGCCAGGCGAGATGCAGCAGCTGGATAAAGCTGGGTTGAGCGGGATTCAAACAGATGCGGCCCGTTTTCTTCGACCACCGGCGCCGACTCTGAATTTAACCTCCAAGGGGTGGCATCCCAAGGGATGGGCGGGCAGGCACGATGTCTGAAGACTCCTCGCGCGGTGCCGACAACTCGGAACAGGGCAATTCAGAATCGGTCCACAGACGGATCCCTCCCGGGGTCCAAACGCGCCAGCCTCCCGAGCTGCGGCCGGCCGAGGCGAAAAGAGGCGGCCCACCAAAGGCCACCAATGCCGCTGCCACAACTCGCCCTACCCAGGCATCTGGCGCTCCGATTTGTTCGATGCGTGGGTCCCCGGAGGTCTGGACGACTTCCCTGTAGGACCAGTCCTCCGTCCTGAACCATTTCTTGATGGTCCCGGGGCCCGTTGAGGGACCCTCGGGGGCCGAACGTTGCCCGAAAAACCAGCCGCTCCAGTGTTTCCGGCCTCGGACCTCTGGAACTGCCGCTGCCTCAACTCGCCCTCCTGTGACCAGCTGCCTGGCCGGCACGGCTCGAGCACCGACCCACACGACCGCGCAGCCGAGACCGGCCGACGCCGGCAGGCCGCGAGAACAGCCCCAGAGGGCGCAGCGGCGCGGCGGCGCCACGGTGACCGGCCGAAGCGAACCGCCCGAACGCTGCCTCCTGCTGGCGTAGCGACTTTGGGTTAGAAAACTTGAAGCTGGCCAGCTTTGGTTACAGCATGGTGTAAGTTGATACATAGCTAAGGTCATCTGAAGAACTAACATGCAACTACCCAACTTGATGTTAGCATAGATGGTTGCATCGTTTACCACTTGTAATTGCAGCTGCCCAAGTTACCCAGGGATGTGACTATCGTAACTGCGAGTTGTAAGTTGCAGGCCAAAGAACTTATCAAAGTTACAAATAACTTGTAAACTACTTGCAACTGTCTGAAATAAGTTAAATTTGGGCTCCTTTGCAACCCTCGAATTGTACATATCGCACATTATCATTCCCCTCTCCCCCCTCCTCCCCCGCGTACCCCCATCCCCCCGACGCCGCGTGGCTGCTGAGGCTTCGGATCGCAGACCGAAGAAAGAGGCGGATTGCGAGGAGGATGAGCGATTCAATCGCTGCAGGATCGCAGACCGAAGAAAGATGCGGAGTGGAGGAGGATGAGCGATTCAATCGCTAATGTTTTTTTGATGAGCGATTCAATCGCTGTCCTGGCAGATGTTGTTTTCCGCTCAGTGCAAAGCAAGAATGTCGCCAGAGGCGAGCTCCGACCAAGCGTGGCACATCTCAACCGATTCGCCGCTCCACCACGCAAGAAGCAATTCGCCGTCCTTCCGCAGGACTGACGCGTTCGGCGTCCGCTTCTCGATCACGACGCACTCGTGCCCAAGAATGAATAGATCGTCCCCCCGTTGGCCCAGAGCTGCGACGCATAGAAAATTGTTCTGCATGCGCACCACGTCGCCTGCCCAAACAAGCAAGCCTTTGAAAGCAGCGCTGGATGAAAGGACGACGTCGCCGCCGACTGCTTCAGCCAGCAGGGGCGACAACTCCGCATCGCCCCCCCTGAGCCCTGGGCGCTCGTCGAAACTTTCGAGCTCCTGCAGGCGCGCCAACAGCACGCGAGAAATTGCAGCTTTCTCGAAGCCTTTCAGTATATCTTGGTTGTCCAGAATCATTTTCGGCAGAAGGTGCGACCTCTCAACAACGAAGCAATCCAACACAACGTCGAATTTCTCCACTTGCTCGGGAATGTGCGTCGCCAAATGAAACTTTGGTTTCCAATTGTCGGCCCCGTATGCTTTTTCATGTGCGTCCGCGTGGCGATCAACTGCAGCTCCGAGGGCCGAGGCATCGATGTCGCCCGCCTTCGCCCGTTGAATTTTGTCAATTACAGCGAAACAATGGCAGAGGGAGGCAACTTCGTCGCGCAGCTCATCGAAATTCGGCAAGATAACAATGCAAGCAAAATGCCGCACCAGCGGGTAAATGCACAACAACTCTGAGGCGCTGCTTCGCCAATGCTCCTTGGATGCGTTCTCCCTGGCCTTGCAGAAAACAACGTGGGCCTCCCGACACTTGCGTCGGTGTTGCTGGGGGAAAGACCAGTCTGCCTGGCAGTACCGTTCCAACTTCGGATAGATGTCCCTCAGAGCAGGAATGGCTTGGCATGCCGACATGAAGCAAAACATTTCCTGGGACGCAACACCATTGCACAAATATACATGCATCCAATCAAAATGGAGCGACGAAACAGGGCCGACCTGCCCTCGGAGGTCTGCGTCCGCCAACAACCCATCAGGATTAAAATTGATGCCGTGTGCTTTCTCGTGGCGCACAAATGCGGCTTTCGATATTGTCCCTTGTAAGTGCGTCAACTCGTCGTGGGCTCCCCATACGGCCTCGTCAGAATTACAAATGAATGCGCTGCGGTCCCTGCATGTGATTTCCACCAACCGATTGGGCGCGGCGCCAGCGCCAGCAATGCCTGAGCCTTTCTTGAGCACGTTGGCGCACTTCAGACACGGTCGGATCCCTGCAGATCCTTTCACGCCGAGGCCCCTGGACAAAGCGACCTCGTCTCCCAAGTGTACGGCAAATTTCGCGAAGAACATTGTCGGCCCGCCCTGTAGCGGCAAGGCCACGCCATCCACGAGATTGCCGTCCTCAAGAAGCAAGCGACGCAGCAACGACTTGATCGTGCCCGAGAGGCCACCGCGAATTTTCTCCACTTGTGCCGACCTGATCACGCCCAGGGGGAACCAACAGCAATCGTGCCGAAGGGCATGCTTGAATTCTAGAAGCGAAATGTAAAATGCAACGAACTTCCTGCGGTTATGCGGTCGCAGCACAGCTCCAGGCGTGACCTCGTCGTGCGCAAGGATCACGTTCCACGGCCTTGCTGGGGTGATAGGCGCGGCCGCGAACATGCGCTTCAGCGCTGGGGACACCTCGACTAACCGTTGAACCAAGCGGGCAGGCCTCAGCGGGATGCGCCAAGCAGGCGCGCCGCGAACCCCCTGCACCACCCCCTCCCGCCCTGGGGGGGGGGGAAGGGGGAAGGGGGGAATGGGTGGAGGGGGGGAAGGGGCAGGGGGAGAGGAGAAAACTGGCACCAGAAAAAAATCCAGATGCCGTTGTTGATTTTTTGCGGCCCAAGAAAGACGCGCTGCTTGGTGCGCCCCGCGACGTCCTTGCAATGTGCCACTCAAAGGACCCGCCGTCGCACAGCGGCAATTCCAGAGAACACGACATCTCTCTATCGTACTCCATCTTCGCGGCGGCCTTGGCCTCATGCGCAGAGACCTCCTCTTCGATGGGCGCTTGCCTCAGTCGGCGGAGGACCTCGCACAAACCAGCGCACGTCACGCCTGGAATGGTCACCAGCCTCCCAAGGCGGCGGCGCTTCTCGAGAACTTGCTTACCCATGATGGCCACGCGGGCGCTGGGGCGCGGGACTCGGGCACTCCTGAGCCCAAGCGCTGAATGTAAAGCAGGTGAAGGGTGCAAGCCGTCGCGCCGAGCGATTCAATCGCTTCCGAGAGAGGGCGCCGCTTCATAGCGAGTGAATCGCTAACGAAATGAGCGATTGAATCGCTAACGAAATCAGCGAGTGAATCGCTAACGAAATGAGCGATTGAATCGCTAACGAAATGAGCGATTGAATCGCTAACGAAATCAGCGAGTGAATCGCTAACGAAATGAGCGATTGAATCGCTAACGAAATGAGCGAGTGAATCGCTAACGGAATGAATGATTTTTTTCTCCGACGCCGCATCTCAGCCCGAGAGATGTCAAGAGGCGGTCACTCGCGCAGCATGCTCGTTGCTGCACTTCCCCTCTCCTCCCGCAGGGGAGCCTCAGTCGTCGAAAGTGCTGAGCGCTGTCTCCGCCTGCGCGCACTTCTTCTCAGCCGCGTCTGCCTTCTCCTTCACCGTCGCAAGCTGAATGGACAGCACGGCGTTCTTGGACAGGGTATCCTGGGCCGCGGCCGCGAGAGCGTCGAGGTCCTTGATGTGCCACGCCAGGGCCTTGCTGTGGTCCTTGTGCAGCTTGCTTGCCTTGGGGTTGTTCAACAACCCTTTTGCCTTGAAAGCGAGCGGGCTCACCTTGGCCAGGATCTTGACGGCGTCGCTCATCATCTTCTTGGTGGCTGAGGTTGGCGCGAGTTGCTCCTTTCCCTTGCCTTTGCCTTTGTTCTTGCCTTGGTGCTGCTGCGGGCTGGCGGTGCGCTCCTTTGCGGCGGTCAGGGACTGGCGGACCTCTTCCTCGACGCTTTTGTCGTCCTTGTAATCAATGTTCACGCAGTAGAGCGTGCCGAGGACATCATCTTGTTTCTTGTCTTTGCACAGCCTCTTAATCCTCTTTGCGGAGTAGCCCTTCTTCTTGTAGACGCTGAGTGGGAGGTATTTCCCCTGCCTGCCTGAGGCGCGGCTCTCGCGGTATACCCTCGTGAACGTTTCCACCGCAATCTTCTCGACCTCTGCCTTCCCGTTCGCCTCCTTGACGTCGTTCCAAAAAGTATCTTTCTCTTCCTGTGAAAGCGACTTGAAGGATTGTGGCGGCCATCCTCCGAAAATCCTGTGGAGCTGAGTGTACCGCGAACTGCGCGTTGAGCACTGCCAAACATTCCTTTTCTTGCCTACAATCCTTGCTGCGAGCGGCTCCACGGG